CGTCCCTTGGGGCGGCGGCGGCCTGCCGATCGGCAGCGGAGGCGCACGCGGGTCTGGGTAGAGGATCGGGCCCGACCGAGCGTAGCAGCAGCGCGAGCTGCCCTCGCCGAAGAGCGCCGCGGGCGTGCCTGGTGGGGGGAGTGGCAAAGAGTGATAGCAGCTGAGCGGTGGGTAGTGAGTAGCGGCTTAGCAGTGGGCAGTGAGTGCGTGCCGTTGAGGATCAGGAAACCCTCCCCGCGGCACTCGAGCCAGGCGGGCGTGCGCATCGTCGCGTGCGCGCCGTACCGCATCCCGTCCCTCGCGGGGAACTTCGCCGCCACGAAGGAGGTGCCGCGGTGCCGCGCGAGGAAGGAGGAGAGCTCTCGGCCGGTGCGGAGCGCCACGTCGGCGTCCGAGAGGTTGATGACGAAGTCGAGGGAGGGGGCGGCGGCGAGCGCGATGGCGACCGCCTCCAGCAGGACCTCCACCTGCGACGCCGCACCCCATCCGACCGGGCGCCGCTCGAGCAGGTGCACGCGCGGCTCCGAGGCGGCCCAACCGGCGACGGCACTGTGCGCGCGGGCGTCGATGTGGAGGAGGAAGAGGTGCGAAGGCGCGTCGAGCGCGCGCACGAGGCGGGCGACCGTCGCGTGCGCAAAGCGCCGGTGCGCCATGATAAGAAAGGCGAGCGACGCGCGTCCGGGCCCGGCAGGAGCCGGCGGCGGCAGCTGGACCGCCGTCCGCGCCCGGAGCGGCATCCCATCGCCCGCCGCGCGCCGCAGCCGCTCGTCGATGGCGGCGAGGCAGGCGGCGTGTGCGGCGGCAGACGAGGGCTGAGCCGCCGCGTTACGTCCCTCGTGGTCGAGCAGCTGCATGGCCGGCTGCCAGCGACCTCGTCCGTCAGGCAGCCGTCAGGTGTCGCCACTCCAACTCTTGCGCGCCGCGCTCAGGCAGGTCGGCGCTGTGGAATAAGCGGGATGTGTAAACCCGGAGAGACGAGAAAAGAGATCGAAGGAATTTTGTGCGATATGCGCGCGCGTGTGACACTCCTGAGCGGCTCGATGTGTCCCCCGGCCGAGGGAAGCGAGGGCGTGTTTTGTCGTAGCCCCCTGGGTTCGGTTACAAAAAACAAACATCTCTCTAAAACAAACATCTCTCTCTCTCGGTTACACGGTTAGTGCACGGTCGTAACCCCCTGGGTGTGCGGAGGCGAGCTGCTGCGGCCTCGTGAATGATGAATAATGAAATGAATGCGGCCTCGTGGGCTGGCACGGCCGGTTTAGCCGCGCTTCTCCCGCGCGCGCTACTCTAACGCTGAGCGCGTCGGCACCGCGGCTGGCTGGCGGGAGCGAGGCTGACCAGGCAGCCTGAGGGCCCAACTTCAGAATCGTGCTTTTTTGGGTTAGGGACGAGCGCGAAGGACCGATTGCGGTGAAGGACCGCAGGTTAGGGACCGATCGCCGCCGCTCAAGCCAGCGGTTGGTCTTCGTCAGTGATGTTAGCTACGCCACCGTCTACCTCGTGCGACATGCGCTCGCCCGCATCGAGCGAGCAACGTGTTCGACCGAGCGGCTTGCTGTGCGGACGGCTTCTTGTGGCTCTCGTCGAGAGCGTTTTGCGGCCCGGCGGGTGGGAGAGCATGTGTCGTCTGATGTGTCACTGTGTACGTCATATCAGTCTTGATAACAAGTACGGTCGATCCGTTAAAGCGATACACTCGTCACGATCACGTTGGACGGCTTGCACAGAGCTCTGTGCCGGCACGCATCAGGAAGACCGCCGTACGGCAAGAAG